CGTCTAGCGGCGGCAGCTGAGGTTAAAGGCTAGCGAGGCGGGGCTAATACATTATCGTTTCGGAAAAAAAAACATTTGTGTGGACGGCCCCTAAGAAACACCAAAAATCCTATAGGCAACTCAGTGATTGTGAAATGTAACTACTACTGAATTTATAGCATTACAATATATAATTGTAAAAATGGTTGATTAATTCCCTTCTTTGAAATTAATATTAGAGAATAATATATTCCTTTCCTTATTCAAAGTCTGATCTATAATTTAAATTAAAAAAAATATCTAGTTGATCACATTGGCTTGGTGAATTTCAGACAACAAAATTCAACATGAAAAATTCAGACTTGATTATTTGGAATATTCACTCGTGCTCAAACAATGAGCACCCATTGTTTGTTAGCTTGTCTTTGGAAGTGTGAAAAGAAACTCTGGTTTGGATTAAATGACCCTTAATTTACTGTCATGTTAGCAAATCCTTGGGGACAAAGGCGTCATTAATGTACATCCACTAAAAGATGCTGTTTTTGACAGGCTCTGATTGTTATTCTATAACAGTCTGTGCAGAATTTCACTGGCTTTTTGGGATCGTTACCATTTAAAATGCCTGATTTCACTGCAACTTTTTAATAAAATTGTGATGCACATTCTGTTTGTAGGCACATTTTTGCAATACGGTTTGCAAGAGAAAGTGAACATTGCAAAAGTAATTGTAATTTTTTGTGTAATTCATTAAAAAATCAATGGCAACATGTTTCAGTAAGAATAAAGTCACTAGTAGTTTGGTGACATATGGCTCAATGTTTTGCACGGGGGACTGCCATCAAATCTGCCATAAGTGTGACACTATTCTCTGCTCAGGATACCATGACTCCACTATATCTTTACATAGTAATGTTTTAAATGTCATATACACACATTTAACCTTTAAAGAAAATCAAAATGTCTGCCTTAGATGGTTAAGTTGGTGTGTGTGTGCATGTTAGGGTCTCTGACACAACAATAGATTTGTGTGTGTGTGCCCCCAGGAGCACTCCATAAAGCCATCTTATTACTAAGCCCCTGTGTAAAGGGGGCAGGTCCTTAGCCGATTAGAGAGCATGTCAGCGCAGACAGGGTTGGTAGACCCTCATTCAGACTGTGGAGGTCAAGGAGGGACAAACAGTATTAGGGAGCAACATATTGACTATAGTAATGTTATCAGGGCTCACAGCAATTAACCACGTGCCTGTAGAGCCAAATGGCAATAAGTGCAATGACAATAACTGGTGTGTGTGTGTGTGTGTGGATTCCTCAGAGGCAGAGATGATGCTGAAGGGCTGATTAAAGGAACACACTGACTGCTTTAAATGTTTTTGACCTTCCCTTACAAATCTTGAGCTTCAATGTGTTGCTGCCAACATTTTCAAAGCATACTAGGTTTTTAGATATTTACCTCCCTTTAGAAAGCCAGTGGTTTAAGTTTGTTTAAGCACAATATACAAATCCACTTAAAGCTGCCATAATCAATCATTTGTTATTAACAACGGAGCTCTTTAAGCTCATTAACCGACACAATGCACTACCAACAGAC